TGCAATCCCTGCGAATCTCACAAGTGAATTAGCGCTGGCAATGAGCAGTTGTCTTCAAATACCCCTTTTATGCAGAGAAACTCCTAGAAGAAGCCTGAATAATCCAATAGAAACTACGCAACTGTATTTTTTACTCATGGACATTCAAGAAAAGGTGCTTTAGTATGCATAAAGCTGATTCCCTGCATATGCTTTAGGTAATTTTAGGCAACTATCTGACAGTAAACTACAGGAGAAGTACTTGTACGAGACTAGAGGCTTTTCAAACAGCATTTGCTGACAGAGCACAATCAAATTGAAGGTGACGGGACTGAACCCAGCCCGTGAGGTAGATGTACTTTGATTTTTCCTGCCAAAGGTGACCATCAGCTGTGAGATCTCCCTAATGATGGCACAGGTGCGACAGCAGACCATAAAAGTACCTCAACCACAAGCCTCATCCCATGGAGGTCCAGATGTCTGCTGTGTAGTGATGTGGAGGCTGAAACTTGTGCATCCTATAAGAGCAGAGTGGCCGACAGTTCTTCCCAAATTAGGTAAAAACGCCAAAATCTGACCAGCCTTTGCCAAGTGCTTCATAGCTCTACAAAGCTGGATGGAAGAGGTCTGCATACCCCAAATATTTCCCCTCTAGCAGGTCTTTAAGCATTGCATCCAACTGCCAAGCCTCTTATTATTGCAGCGTGTGTCTGTAAATGTCTTATCTCGCCAGTGCTAACAGGGTTAGAGCTTGGCAAAAGCCACGACTGAAATAGCATTTATTCATAGTTAAAAATCAAAATATGTTGGTAGCAAGCTGCTCTCACACGCGGCCCCCAGCTTTCTGCAGGGCTGCTTGTGAACCAGCTGTCTAAATCCTGTGACTTGCAGGAAATTCATCTAAAACAGATGGTTTGTAAATGCCTCGTATTGGTCAAAATGTTGTCTGTGCACGAGCTCCTAGAAAGTGTAATTCTTAAGTGTTGTTTTTCACAAACAATTTTGCTTAAAATTGAATGTTAAAATACTGCTGGTGGAGGTTCTTACAGCATTCCTGGAGATGTGGTCTGAAATCAGTGTGGTCATACAACCCTTCTAAGCACTGATTAATCCATTTTATGGGCAGGACAACATTCCTCTGGAATTCCTGAGACTTATTAATTTTATTAATTATTGTTGCTAAGAAGGGACTCTGAATTTTGGTCCTTTATCTTATGTCCTACTTAAAATATACCAGCTAGGACAGTTAAAATGTTTATTTAAATTGTTCAGAAGCTAAATGAATAGCTGCCCTTTGTGGCAGTGAACATGAACACAGCTGGTGTTCGGGATGGTCTGAAGGAGCAGAGCAGGAATCTGCTCAAGTGATGTAGCTGCACTTTTGATGGAGTGTGCAACCTCAAAACTTGGTTCTGCTCACTGGTGTTTCAGAGGAGAGATGCTGAAGGTGTGAGAGATAAAAATTTGTTAAAATCCCTTTATTCTTGTCTTTCAGTGCAAGAGCAGTCAGCTTTGTTTCACATGGGGCAGGTAAAACGATCTAGGAGCCCTTGATGAAAGGATCCAACACAAATATTTTGGGGTGAGGACGAGGCAGAAGGGAAGGCATTATTTATTTACACTGATGAGAGGCAGGCTGTTTCTGGCAGTCATGCTGAATCGGTGCTGGCTCAAACTGCAGGTTCCAGGTATGATTTAAGCAGTTCCTGCTGAATTACCCGGCTGTCGCAGTGAAAATGTACCAGTTTGGGCTGTGAGTTCACTGGAAAAAGGCAGAATGATAATATGCAGTGCGAGGTGACACGAGCAGTTATATTTAGGTGTTTACAACCTCTTTGGAGGATCTGAAATGTGAGAAACTCTTCCGAGTTGTTTTGCTTTTCCTCCCAGGGAGTAATTATTTCCTCAACTTTAGAAAACGTAGCCAGAGCGTAACTTCTCCATCTTGGTTGGAGAAAATTCTGTGGATGCTCTCAGAAGCTCAACTTTAACAGAGCTTTCTGAGCCTGACTGAGGATAATACATTTAGGGACTGCTAATTGGAGATAATTCCAATGAATTAGACTTTGCAGATGTTAACGATATGCTAGAGGAAGTCAACTTAAGAAGATCTATGCTCTGTTCTTTTTTGTCTCGATCTGCTGAATAGCTTCTGTAATTGTCTGATACATCTTCTGGCACTGTTTGGGCTTCTTAAGCGTTTACAGCCTGAAGAAACCAGTCGGTACAGCCTGTGAGTTTTCAGAGCACCGAGTGTAATTAGCTAAAATGCCAGCGCACGAAAATAAAGGAAGTCTTGTGCCCTTCACCGTAGGTGCAGTAACATCTGCAGGGAATATCTGGCATTGCCAGTCCAGCTTGACTGTGTCTGATGGATGAATATTCATGCAAAACACCAATCTCAGCCTCTTGCAGAAAGCATTGCTCGTTCTGGGGGAGTAATTTGCCAATGGTTGTGCTGATAGAATTCATTTCCCACACCGCCCTGGTCAAAGACCTTGGGAGAAAATGCTGCTGGCAATGATGCCCTGATAGGTAGGATTGCACTCGCAGCACCAGCCGTGCGGGGTTGGACACCTTCCTTCTGCGGGAAGGTGAGATTGCCCCAGTTAATCCACTTAGAGACATAGCGAGATGTTCCCTGACGATAGCCTTACGGGTGTTTTCCTCCACGGCCCTACCTCGTTGAGACAGAGGGGGATGAATCAGCTCTGGATGGGAGATAACTCTCATGTTCGACGTGGTTTAAGACTTGAGGATCGTTCCGCTTGAGCTGGACCATACTTAACCAAGGTTTGCCTGGGCTTAGCTGACCAAATTAATGCTTTTCCTTCATTAACGTTTTCATTTTCACTGCAGCATCGCTCCATATTTGATGGAGTGATCTCCATCCCAACGAGTTTCTGATGAGCAGATTGTTATTTTTCGCCTTTGAATGCACTCAGTGCTTGCTGTCTTGCCCTTAACCCTCATCTAATTTTGAGGGTAGATCCTGCGACTTGGAGATCCAAGATTAGGGCACGTTTTTTCTGTGAAACTACTTCAAGTCTGCCTTACTGGCATCACAAATCCCAGCTGTTTTCCACCACTTAGGAAGGTTTCTCAGTTGTTATTTGTGCCCGTGCCTCCTTAGCAGTGTACTTGTTTAATACATTGCTGTTAATACACTTCAGGCTAACAGGAGCACACACAAAGTGCTTTTTTTGGGGTTTGTTTGTTTGTTTGCTCTTAGTGGTAAAGCCAAGAGGAGGTTTAATCAGATAATGGTCCCTCCCCTGTTGAAGAAAATGAAGTATTTCCTAGTAAAAACAGCAGCAGCAGTGATTTAACAATGTAATCTGATCTAATATTAGCAACGGGCTGTGCCTTCGGGGAGCAGTATAATAGCCAATCCACCCAATAAAGTCTGCCTCGCCTTCAATTCGGGATCCTTTTTGAAGAGATGGCTCCCCGAATTGGTTCAGCAACATCACAGAAAGCTGGGCTTCCCTTCGTTTTGTAGGTTTAGTACCAGCAGGGCTGGAGGTGGGCACTCCCTTAGCTCAGGTTTTAATAATTCCTGGCATTTTGTACGCATCCCAAGGCAAGGGTGCAATAATTAATCCCAAACCCTTTCGAGGGGAAGCTGCGCACACTTCTGCTCGTATTTCATCTGCATTTCTTGGGGGAGTCAGGGATGTCAGAGTACGGCCTCAGCACTGGGAGAGCTGCCAGAACCCTCTGTTTCCCCTAGATAAGTGTATTTTCCAAAAGTTATGGCCTTTTTCCTTTTCTTTCTCCTTTTCTGCTTTTTTCCTTTTCTTTTTTTCCTTTTCTTTTTTCCTTTTCTCTTTTTGTTTTCCCCTTTCCTTTCCCCTTTCTCCCCTTTTTCCTTCCCTTAGTAGTGTTGCTCAGGCACAATCCCCTGGTAAAACAAGCCGCTTTACGCCGTGTGGACTCAATGCCTCTGCTTAGCTGCCTGATGGATTAAACATTAGGACGTGTCACACGCGGCTCTTTATTGCACCCAGTTAGCCTTAACCTTTTTCCTTTGGCAGCCTCTTTGCTCTTCGGAACAGGTTGGTCCTGTTCAATGTCAAATCCGAGGTTGCCTTTGGGTGGCAGGAGGAGCAGTGCTCACATACGGGGCTGTGAAGTAACATGTGGTGCAACTGCATTAAAAAAAAAAACAAATCGGGGAACGAGCCCAGCCTCCCCCTTCTGTTAGGGTTAGCGCAGTTCTGTTTTTAGAAAGCAGCGCCTGAAAACCCTTCTGTGTTTGCATTTGACTAGGTGAGGAGTCCTAATGGGAATTTAATCAGCTACGGGGCTGTAATTGCTGCCTTTTTGAACCGAAGGCCTCGTGACTCGGGTACACGCTGGTGCTTCTAGAAAGGTGCAGGATTTTTGCTTGTAACCATTTGCGAAGGAGCAGCGCAGGACGATGGGAGGATCCAGCCCCCTTGCACAACTCCAGCAGAGCTCTTGAGTGCGTTTGTCCAGCAGGGTCAGAAATCCAGGTATGTTTTCAAGCTGCTTTTCACCCTCCTACCGCGGCCGAGCGCTCGAGCCTTGGCATGGGCCAAAGAAACTTCCCCTGTGGCCAGTTCTGTTACTATAAACAGCTGCTAATAATGAGCAACAGAGCCACAAAACACCCGGGCAGAAAATAGCTGCCTGTTGGCTAAGCAAGTGCCTTTCTGCCTCGCATCTCTCAAGTGCTGTGAGGCAGAATAAATGCTGCCACTGGCGGCTGAAGGATCCTCCTTCCGAGGAGGAGGAGCGTGGAGCTGAGCAGGTGAGTCTGCTTTTTGACCTTGCTGCCCCAGGGAGCTGCTGACAGCTTCTTTGCCCCCTGGGAGCTGCAATTTCCCACTGGGATTGGGTATTTTTTACCCAAAATGTTACTTCTAGCTGCTCCCATCCCCTGAAATGTTGGTGTGGAGCCACGCAGCCAGGTAAAACCAACCTGGCTTTAAGGATACGCTGATCTCTCTGGCTGGGCTTTGCTCAGGTTGGTCTTTAACCTAAATCAGCTTCATAAATGCTCGTGGCATTGTGCAGGAAGGGGTGGGAGTAAGGAAGAAAAGGAAGAACAGAGTGCTGCTTTTAGAGGAAGTACTTGTTTATGCTAACCCAAAGTGATTGAGAAACCTATAGCATAAGCAGTGTGAGAGGCTGGCTGTGTATTTTATGTTACACCTTTGCAAGCAGCAGGCTGTAAGGCCAAAATTCCCTTGCTAGTGAAGCTGGCTGGCCTAGAGAACAGATTGCTGATAAATCTGAAGCTCTTCGTGCTGTGGGGAGGTCGCTTCCAGCTGCTGCTACCCCAGGGGTGGCCACCAGGCCTGTGGCAGATTTGTAGAAGACAGGGACGGTGAGGGAGCCACCTGTTTCGGTACAAAATTATCTGGATTCATCTCCTGGAACCGTTTTTGGTGTTTTGAGAAGGGACAAATCCATGTGAGGTGTCATATCCGTGGCTGCAGAAGGATGAAGGATGAGGGACAGCCTTTGGTAGCCGCCTTTTCACAGCATCACACTATTGCTCTGCTGGTGTTTGAGGGGACTGGAGCTCCAAATGCCAGCAATTTCCTTGGACAAATGCCATTCTCCTCTTTCAAAAGGCACGGGCCCAAACAATGCATCATCCTGCAGGGCCGTCAAACGCCGCAGCAGAACCCAGCCTCCTTTTTGCATTTAATCCCAGAAGGAATAACAAATGATGTTTGTCTCCAGCGCAGAGGTGGAAGTGTTCAGCCAAACGTTTATTTAGTCTGAGAAAAAGCCAGATGCACTCCGAATGCCTTTCTTTCCCATGCTAACATCAAAGCTGCACTTCAGCCACTCGAGATAACTTTTCAAGGGATGGCCAGGTTACTAGAAACTCGAGCATAAACCAAGTTGATGAGTACATGGGGTGACTGGTCAGTTAGAGGCTTGCTAGCCTAACGTAATTCCCAAGCTGAATAGTGTGGCTAGCAGCGTGTGTGGCCGCGGGGTGTGCTCCTTGAAGAACTGAAGGAGGGTAATGTGCAAGATCCTGGAAGGAAGGCAGGCTTCTCGTGTTAGACTGGCACCTCCTGGACTCTTTTTTGAGTCAAACAATTGGATATTTTGTGAAATATGCTTGCTTGTTTTTTTGTTGTTCATGATTTTTAACTGTTTTCCCTGTGAAATTAGTGAAGAACAAGGGAAAGGCAGGGGCGTTGGTATGCAAGGATGGCTCAAGGCATCTCCATCCTTTGTTCCAGCACCGAGAAGATGAAACTTCACAAACTGCAGAGTCTTTGAGACAGGACAAGTGCTACATAACTCGAAAACAAGGCCCGGGTGGCAAAGAGTGTGTGTGCAATCACCTGAAGTGTGCTGCGTGCATCGTAGCTTCATTAAGGTCGCAGGCTCTGGCCCTGGCTCAGAATATCCTGTTGCTCGTCGAACAGTACATTCCTACTCCTTGTGAGCCAGAGCTATCTGGGAACATGTATTAAAAATAGTTCAGTCTTAAAAGATTCGGGCGGCACCGCTGCTAACCCCCCTTTATGCTCTATTTTGGGACCGGTGGGTGTAGTGCCCATCACCTGATCTCCAGACCATGGTGTCAGGGATGTGAAAACACTGCTGGTCAACCTTGGAGCCCTCACCAAGGCTGGGAAATGTGAGAGAAGTCGTTTGACTCATGCCTGGATGGGAGAGAGCACAGATTTATCAGATTAGAAGAGACCTGAGCAGCTTTTGTAAACGTCTGCTCACAGGTTAGTCCTCTGAGTTGCCTTTGAGGTGTCAGCCTCCCCTTTCTTGTTTGTACCATGTGCAGCAGGGCCAGAGGTCAAAGTAAAAACCTGCAGGCAGGTTGGAGAAGAGTTGGTGTCATCAAATCTCCTCCAATATACGTTTTACAAGCGTGCATATTTCTGCACTGAAGCTCCTGCTCATACCCACCTCCATACAGTGCCCGATGTTAACCCCTTTGTCAGGCCGAGACACTTCGTTCTACTTTTTCATTCTTTGTGAGTCATCAAAACGCCTCTTAAAGCGTTGGGGAAAGTACACCGAGAGTGCGTGGCATATGGGGTACGCGGTCTCGTCCTCCTAAGGCACATTTTGAAGTGAGTTTGGGTGCTGCGTGGCCTGATGTTCCTGCCCTGCTTGAGTGATAGGTAGAAGGTAAGCCTAATTCATCACTTGGCTTTATTTTTAACCTTTTTTTAAATTTATTTTTAGAAAGGAAAATGGCACAGGCCTGTTTCTTTCACTATAAAATGAAGCCTTTGAACCTCAGGAGGAAAAGGAGTTTGCTGTATTACAAATTACCATTGATAATCAAAACTACAATCTAAACTATGTTGTCAGTTAAATCTTGGCTTTACTGGCTGACAAAGGTGAAAACAAAAAAATATTTGTGCTAGATGCATCCATGGCAGTGTGCCCTCTTTGCTGTTTTAATCCAGCTCCTCTTTAGATGCCATTTAATTTGGATGCGGAGCCCTTTGCTACGTAAAAGCTTCCATAATATTTCCTTCCAGCAGGTAAATGAATTTGCCTGTCTTTTTGATAAGAACGCCGCCGTTCAAACCTGCCAAATGCAAAACAAGCTTGGGAAAAGAATCTGCCTGTAAGATGAGCCTGAACACAGCCTCCGGGGCTTACCAAAGGACTGGAAGACCTTCCCGAGAGGCTCTTGCCCTCCAGCTCGTGTGCTAGACATGTGCTTGGAGCCAGATGAAAGTGCCACTCCCCACAAAATTGGCACAATGGGCCAGCAATTCGCTGCTGCTTGAGATAAAACCCGCACATTGTGCCTCCCCCTGTCGCACTTGAAGACTGCAACCGCTTTTTCTGGCATGTTTAAAATCTCCTGCTCTTTTTATCCGGGTCAATTACAGCTTCAAAGTCTGCCTCCATCCATCATCCGCTGTTCCTGTCTCTTAAATTATCCAACTGCTCCCTGTAGTCGTCTCCTGCTTCGAGCAGAACTTCTCCAGCCCTCCCTGAAGAGCCAAAATCTCACATCTCCTCTTTTGTCCTCCCTCTTTTTCCAGCCGTGTGACAAATGCTCCCAGCTTGCTGCCAGCCTGCTTGCGTATTCAGGCAGCCCCAGTGCATTATAAAATGTTCTTCCTGCCTTGAAACTACCTTTTAAAAGAGGTGTTTGGGGGAAACTGAGTCAAATCCCTCCCAGACAGTGACACGAGGAGACATTGAGCCTAAGGCTTTAAAGCCTTGTAGTACAGGAGCCTTATCAGTCACCTCAGCCTGTAATACGACGTGCTCATTCGGAGAGATTTCCAAGTAGTAAGAGCTGATACGTAAACTTATTAAATTCTGCTGAATGCAGTTTTGCCTGCCTGCCAGCAATTAAGCGTTTTATGACTGTAATTAAAATAATCGCTTCTACCCTGCAACCTGTGCTCTCTAGGTTTTATTCACCCGGGCCTTCTGTTACGATAAGCGTACGTGTTCTGTGCTCGTGTTTTGGTGGCGGAGCTGTTTGGGGTGTTATTGGTGTTGTTTTTATTACACGGTGCTTAATTTCATATTTCTGATAAACTTATTGCTGTTCGAGGAGCGAATCTGAAACCTCAGACACTAGAGCAAGGTAAGAGACTGCCATCCCTTTGCTTCCTGCTGCGAGCTCAACACACTGCTAATTAGTGGGCAAATGAGCTCTGCCACACGCAGAACGTGGCAAATCCAAACGCTGATGGGAAGAAAATGCTTTATGGAAACAGCTTACGAAGAACTTGAACAAGTTCCTGTGTCTGCCGTGATTCAGTGACCCTGGGCACTGCAGCTCAGCTCCTCCTCTTCGTACCAAATGGGTGAAGAAATGCTTTCTTGAGACCTTTTTGTTGTGAAGGGTTTATTTCTTATAGATTAAAACTTTGGAACTTAAAACTTAAGTAAAATAGCTTACAACCCTTAGTTATTTTAACTTCCCTTGCATGATTTGACTAGCTCAGAAGGAAATTATCAGAGTAAGTTGTTACCGAGGTGGCCGAAACTGAAACTTCAAGTCATTTGGGGAAGTCTGGGAGGAGAAAAAACCCAGACCAAAAAAAAAGGATGCTTTTGGCTGGAAGAAGAGAAGCACTCAGGATGTTCCCTTGCTGCACATGTAGAGCAGGGTGTTGGGGTCACGTGGAAGCAGAGTTGCTGACGTGCTGCTTTAAACCCCAGACGTGTCATCTCTTTCTTAGGACTGACTTGTAGGTTTGGTGCCTAATGGTCTGATTTACCCTAGAGCCCACAAAGAGGTTTGTAGGCGCAGCTGAAAGGGCTGGGGACTTGTTGGGGTCTGCCAGCGGGGCACCATACCCCTCGAGGGTTTGTCCTGGGATAAGACTCCTTCTAAAATGCTTTTTCGTCCTCCCGAGTGAATATTTGGTTGACGTGGGACTGTATTTATGGCTGCTTTGACTTCGTCTGCAGCACAGAGGAAGGGGAAGGACAGGAGAAGCCCGTCTTACCTGGCAGGGATAGATTTCACAGATAATGTACAGTGCACCAGCAATGTGTATTGCACCATTATCTCTTATTAAATTCACAAGCCTTGTAGGATATGAGACTAAAACACTCAGGTGTGTGCAAAAAGTGGAGATGGATGCCCATGCCGTATAGATCTCGTTAAAACTTCAAACATTTTAATGCCAGTCTTCAGAATTACATGCCTGATAGCTTCTTTCTGCTTGTGTTTGCACGGTGATGAACCCCTCTGCCAAGCCGTGCACTCGATTTGCTAGTGCTAGGGAAGCTCAGAGGAGCTGTGGGCTCTCAGATGTTCCTGCAGAAGTAGCTGGCAACTTCCAAAAGTCCGACCTGGGCTGTCGGTGAGTAAATGGCAGGCGATGAATCACCTTCCTGGCATAGTGCTGGAGTATCCCACGCTGTTTCAGGGATGGAACCTGCCTCACATTTCCCAGAATCTGTTAGCCTGGTGCTGGCTGTGCTCAGGGTCTCAGGCACTGCTGTATATTCTTCGGTGGCTTCGTCTAGGATGAATTCAGGAGCTCAGATAAGCATCGGTTAACGGGAGGAGCTGCCTTTCACTGGCAAGTCCAGGGGTAGGAGGGATCGTGGAATAAAGGACCCTACAGGAGGCAGGGACAATGGAAAGCATTAAGCAGGAAATAGGGTATATGGTTAAAGGGGGGGGGACACAATATCCTGAAAAAAAAAATGCTATTGAAATTTTTAAATGCCTGCTTCTTGTTGCAGATTAATCAGCCGCTCGATGGGGATTAACAGTGGAGCACCTCTTTGTGTCGCCTTTCCACCTCTCTGTAGCAAGAAGAACAACTTCAGCACTTCTTCAATAATAATTATGAAACTGGTATTAACTGAATGGCAATTATGGATTTTTAACTCTAACTCTCAGTAAACCAGCAAGCCATATGTTGAAATTCCTACCAAATAGCTTTTCGTCCTTGATGTCTCGTACCTGTACAAGAAGTTGCAAGATTCCTGTTTGTACAAGAGGAATATAAGCGTTTACTTGCCTGAGGAACAGAAGCTGAACGAGAAGACACCCTGACTTGTTTGTGGAGTTATGGTAGTATTATTTATATAGATATAACAAAGAGAGAGATATATATATATATTTTTATGGTAATGAAAATGGCTCCCCAGAATGCTGACTCGGAATCTATGCAAGTTCAAGACCTACCTGTGGCCCAGCTTCAGAAAGCAGAAACCAAGGAGAACGAAAGCAGAGAGGAGACCATTAGCGAAGGGTCCATAGACCGGATCCCCATCCGCCTGTGGGTGATGCACGGCGCAGTCATGTTTGGCAGGGAATTTTGTTATGCCATGGAGACGGCTTTGGTAACGCCGGTGTTGTTACAGATCGGTGAGTCTTGGCTTCTCTTCATCAAAACTTTACGCCGTAAATTTTCATTGATGTCAGAAGAAAAGGGGAGTGGGAGCCGATAACTTCAAAATGCAGATGGTAAAAAAAAGGGTTACGTGGTTTTTTTAATTCTTAATTGTGTGACTGTTTAAGTGGGGAGGATTTCTGTCTGCATTCACCTTGTCTACTATTGCTTTGCTCCATTTAACCCGGTGTAAGTTTTGAGTTCACATTTAAAACCACCAATCTCAAAAGCTTCAAAAATTCTGTGTTAAAAGGTAGGTATCCTTCACACCAAAAACTTCAGGCTATAAAAGACTGCAGTGAAGCTTTTTTCATTTATGAAGAAATGCTTCAGGTTACAGTACTTCAGAACAACTAGATGTTTAATTTTGCTTTTCCAGCTCTTAATGCAATGTGACATTCATTTCGAACCACTAGTGAATGTTGTGTTATGTGGTTAATGTGCTTGGTTTATGATTAAATACACAAATACTCTGGATAAACCCTGATACAAATAGCTCTAGAAAAAAATGAGGGAGAAAGGGAAATAAGAATAGGAGCAGGTTATGGTAAATTTTGTGGTGAGTGCTATAATTAGGTTTCCAATAAACTGCTTGCAGTATTAATGATATCTGGTTTTACCTTATCAAATTCAGAAAGTCATGCTCCTCTATCAGATACCTAAAAATATTCCACGAAAGTAAATGGAGACACTGCAGTGAGCAAGGCTCCACGTGAATAAATCAATATTTTGTGTACACTGTGTAAGCGTGTATGCAACACAGGCGTGTTACCTCTTTGCTAATGTTTGCTTTGGCTTATACAAGCAGTCGTGCCTTACAGCACGCTCGCTTGTGGCCAAACAGCAGCACCCAGCCAAGTCCCTAAATGCCGTGCGATGAACATTTTACAACACTGCTGAAAAAATTCAAGGCTAGCCTTTAAAATGAAGCATTCGTATTTCCTTTAATATGACCAAAGAGCATCAGAGAATGAACGTGTGAGCATGCAACGGACAAATTCCTTCCTCCTTGCAGTTATAAAATCGTGTTTTCAGATGAAATTACTGCTGGGTTTGCTTTATATTAACAGATGGGTCTATAACCGGTACAAGAGCCACGAGAGACCCTGAGGGGTCATTCCGTCTCTGAGCTTTCCTGAAAATGTTCATTCTCAGAGCTCATCAGGTGCCCCCTTTGGATATATTACTGACGTAGTTAAAATAGATTATAAAAGTACTATAATGTATTATTGATATACGTTATATGTGCTATAAATATGTTCAACTCCTCTGAATAGGAGCTGTCTGCTCAAGCCAACTGGCTGAATAAAACACACGCAAGGTTCATCTAGGAATATTTACAATGGCTGTAACTTCTTTCAGGATTTAGGGTGTTTTGGATAACGTCAAGATTCAGAGATTCAAAATATTTAAATGGTATTAGGAGATTAGATTTAGGTACTGTCTACCATGACTACAAAATACTCGCGTCCTGCTCTGCATGGAGAAGACCTCCAGTTTTGTAAGTGACCTGTACTTCTTTTTTTGTTGTTTGTGCTGGCCCTTGGGTGTTTAAATGCATAGCTGGCTGAGCTGACTTTACCTTCCCAAACGATTAAGGTCAGACAGCATAAACAAACCATCCTCTTAATTACTGATCACTCTCCTGGTTTACAGGTCTTTTGTGAGCTCTTCTGGCAGATCTGTTTCCTCCAGATAATTGAAAAATCTCTCTTCCCTTCCTTCCCTAGCCCCAGTGATCACCAGAACATTGGGATTCGGGGGAAGGGAACGGAAGAAAAGAGCTCTAATTTCTAGAAAAGCTGGCAAATGGGGATGCAGTGGTAATGTTGAGTGTAGTATAGATGAGAAGTGGAGGTAGCTGGTTAAATATGAGCATTTGGGGAATTGAAATTCTCGGTGCTCTTGCTCGTGTTCTCTTGGCAGAGCACTAAACATGGCTGGATGCACTGAAGGGTTAAGTTATTCACGGGTGACTTCTCTCCTGGTTTGTAATTACCTCTTACATGCTTCTGTTTACCTTTATCAACCTCAACATCTGTCTGCCTCAATATTTCTGCCTCGGTGGAGGGGGCTGCACGGAGCTGTTTTAGTGCCGTAATATTCCCTCTGCTTCTTGTTCTGGCGAAAGCAGCGTTCGGTTCTTTGCTCCCTGAGATCCCTCTGGCTTCAGAAACTTTCCGAGAGGGGGCAGCTGGAGAAGCGTGGCGATGCAAGCAATGAAAACAAAACAAAATCGCTCAAAATAAACCGAAAAACCAGAAGCCTTCTGGATGTGCAGGGCAGACTCCTCCTCACAGCCGTACGTTAAATCTGAAGCTTTCTGGTTTGTACTCACGTTCCTCATCTTAAAGAAAACCTTTGCTCCCCGAAATGCTCTGAGATTCTTATCTGTTGCCTCGGTTAAAACCTTAGATGTGTTAGCACTGGTGCTAGATGCTTTGTGCTTGCAGATATTTGACTTCCCGAGCTGTTTGTGTACCCTAAATCAGAGTGTAGCTACCACCTGGCTGATCCTAACCACCCGGAGACTTCAGGTACTCCCTTGGTACAGTCCCTTTCCAGTTCAGCCCTGCTTGGGTTGTCAGCACGTTTAAATTCCAACAAGTTCTCGGTTCCTTACAAAAGAACTAGAGGTGGGAGCTGTTCGACTCGAAGGATACCACGAATTCGAAAGCTCTGGAAGTCCGTGAATGCTGTATGTCTGCCAAAATACGTGCAGATTTGTGACTTTAATCTTTGCCTTTATTGCTGTGCTTAGATAGATGGATGTTACGTTGCCTCTTCAGCAACGCAGCTACAAATTGGTGGCAGTCTTGTCATAAACGGGTTTTAGTAGCTTAGCAACAGGAACAAGACAAATGCATCTCCTTGGGTGTTTTTATTCTAACGTGTTCTTTGATTCCCAGCTATCTGCAGCTCAGGAGTTCAAAATTAAGCAGATAACTTGTTGAGGATAATTTGGAGGACACAGAACTACACCTGGTAGGAGAAGTGGCAGGCTGACTCCGGAGGAGATGATACTAGGTGGCACTTCTGTAAGTTTTAACCTCTAAAAACCTTTGTTAACCATTTTTTGGAGGCCCATTAAGGCAGCAGTTCTCCTGACCTGGTGTTAAAACATCACAAAAAAGCAAGTGGCGGCTCCTTCAGCACGCTGGGTTTGGTCATTCAGGTCAGCCCAAGGTGTGGTTTTGGAGGAGCTGGAGGATTTTTTGTTACAATTTAGGATGTTCTCTGCATTAAGCCTGACTGACACCAGCTACTGTTGGCTTCCTCTGCCGCATTTCCATATTATACATTCCATAAGAGCACGAGAAGGCTTTGTCTTCTGAAACATCTGGTCTGCGACGCTGTTATCTGTGAGAGGGAATTAAAATCCCTGCAATTAGCGAGGGAAAAAAATAGAATGTCACTTGGAAACCTGGCTCCTAAGCATTACACCTCCAAATTCATAATGGTTCGGGGAAAATTTGGATAGGATTGGGAAATGGTTTTGCAAGGGATTTGATGTGAATCAAGGTGAGGAGAAGGTAAGGACGGGTCTGGTGTCAAAACTTGGAGGAATCTGTGTTATGGGGCTTGGGGTGGCGCCTACCTTCGGGAGGATTTGCTGTGCGACAAGTGAATAGAGGTGATGCAAACACAGAGTGTAAATTTCATATTTAATACGCTGAAAGCTTCGCCAACCCTTTCCTGTTGCTTCAAAGGCTCTTTCCCGTGCTGTTGAGTGTTTTATGAATAGTTAATAGGCAGAGAAGTGACTGTCAGCACCAGAGCTGTTCCTCATTCCCCTGCATGAATTATTAAGGGGATTACACCAGTGCTTGAGGAAGAAACAATGTGCATTTACATCCAGAAAAACACAAACATGCCTCGCTTACCTTTACAGCACCACTTAAATCTAGGGGTGTTTCTCGGCAAATTAGGTTTGGTTTGCTTTATAATTTCAATAATTTCTCCCATTTTGTGCTCTCACACCAGCAGAAGACTGTTCTTGCTGCTGTCTCACACATGTGGGATAGCTGTCTGGGGCTTTGGGCTGTGGGTTCGCAGCGAAATTTCCTCCTCAGCTCTTATGACTAAGTGCTTTATCAGCCCGAAGCTCAGCAGAGCGTGCTCGGAGGGTCTTGAAATGGAGCTCACGTGGGCTTGCCAGGATGGGAAAAGTGCGTTAAGCAAGAATAGAAATTGCTGATCCTGAGAAATCTCAACATGGTGGCCGAGAAGTGTCTGGCCTAAGCAGATTTAATAGTCTGGGGTGAACTTTTAGCATGAAGTAGCTGGTCTCCCCCTTGAAATTCAGCGTTGATACCTGCCTGAGAAGAATGCGGGTAGGTAAAGAGGAGATTATGGGGACGTATTTAGAAGCCAAGCATGAAGTGTTAAAGATAAGTCAGCCCGTAGGTATGGCTCTTCAAAGGAATTAAAGTATCAATTGCTGACTCAATTCAGTGTGGAAGGGGATAGTCTTCCACGGCTCAGCCTGAGATCAAAGGCAAGCTAAAAACCTTAAAGACCTGGGGGGGGCAGAGGGAAACAAAGGGATTGGATGAGCTTTTAGAGGCTGCCTATAATTCAAGGGAAAAAAGGCTGACTGGCTGGAAAAACTCAGCTGGAGGAGCCTCTTCAACATAAAAGCAGCACTGGCTATTTATTTCAGCTCAGCTCTCCTCTGGCGGAGAATTATTTTAAGGACATAAAGGATATACATTCATACAACCATCCACGAATCTGTGCCTTCCCATTTCCCTTACCAGGAAGAAACTGTCCGAGTTGCCCTTTGACCCCAAGTGAATTTTTTTTCTAAATTCCAGCTGCATCTGAGCTCCTGGGCATGGCTGCATGTGATGTTGAGGATCTGAATTCCGCCTTGGAAGAGTTAAGAGCTTGAGAGCTGACCTGGGGGACTGTACCACAGCTGACCTCAGGGCAGGAATTGAATTTACAGTGGCTCCAGAAAACTCAGACCAGT